ATTTAAATAAAATAATAGAATCAACATGAGAGTATTATGCGACACATTCGGGTGATCAATATTTTGCAAACATAGCATCATATCAAGTTATCTATGTTGGAAGTTAATTTTACTAATATAGACTTCAAATCAAGATAAATTTTATTTAGTGCTTGCACTAGTGAAATGTTAATTAAAGTGATGAGAAAACTTGCTTGACATAAATGAAATTAAGAGAAAAATGGAAATGAGTAGAAATGGTTTGATAATGGGTAAAAGAAGAAACATCGCTTAACTGTTGATAGTTGTCGGTTTAATTTGGCATCGCCATATTGATGCCGCAGTTCAACAGTACATTATGTAGGGTTGTTCATGAAGAAAGTCATAATTAATGCTATCATTATTATCACTGCAATATCAGTGCTGCAAAATGGTTATGGTCGCTATCATTATTGTAACTGTTGCAGTAATGATTTAACAGTGAAAGAGACAACAGCAATGCGCCATTTGTTAATCTGAAGTATTGCCCCCGCCACTACACATCAGTCTGGTCACCACAGTCTGCTGTTTATCTTTCCGATGATGATTTCCTCTATCTTTGTTAACCGTAGATGTTATTGGTCTCTCTTTACCGATCACTTTTTTCCCTTTCATTAGGATGAAGTGAAATTTCGGATCAATTTTATGCCGACAATTTACGAATTACATCATTATGCAATAGTTTCAATGCTAATGTTGCTAAAACTTGGAGATAATTTGCAATTTCGATTTATGATGCAAAATTTAAAGTTGAACCAATATACTTTTCAAGGTATCATATGATTTTCATATTTTTCATCCTATCTCTATAACCTGATATACCTTGTAAAAAAAAAAAAAGTCCAAAATTAATTTGTCGACAATTTGAGTATAGCATCTTTTATTGCATGCTTGTAGTGTTTATGTTTAAAAAGATTAGTAATGCAAAATTGTTTCACAGAAGTTTTGAAATTTTTAAGTGAAATGTAGTTGTTTAAAACTTTTTGACAAATATTCACAAAATTTTAATTTCATCCGATCCCATTTTAAATTTATCGTCTTAAAAGCTTATGCAGTGTTGCAATATTATTGAATGATGAATGAGAAATATTATAATATTGTTTTCCAAACTTTTTTCTTTCTCATTCTATCCTTCTTTCTCGTTCCTAAGCTTCTTTAATGCTTTCAAAAGATTCCATTATGAAAAGCAAACTGTTGAACAAATATTCATTGCTTCTGTCTTTCCTCATGTACCTTAATGAAGCGAAATACTTGCACCGTTGTTTTCTAGTTTTTTCTTCTTTTCCTATCACTTTCTATTTTCATAAAGAATTTTGTAAATTTCAGTAATCTCACGACAACTTCAAAAACAAAACAAAACAAAAAACGATCAATATATCAGCATGAATGTGATTTGTTTCAATACAATATGAATCATTGTTACCGCTTATTTGAACTTTCATAATGTAACAGTAATATTAACACATCCTAATGTATTCTAGAGACACATTTCAAGTGAGAAGTTATAGTTTACTAAAATGATTTAAAATTACTTTTTAGAAAGACTTGCTGAATTTTAATCTCTTAAATTATTACTTGTCTCACATGACATAGTGTCAATGAGGTCCAAAGAAGAGAGCTGAAAAGAATAATTCTTTGCTTTTGCATCATTGTGATTTATGATCGTCAAATTTAATGTTGATTTATGATCTACAAAACAATTTCAACCATTAATCGTAAAGTGTCACTCATATAAATGGTCATGCTTTCAGAAGCATCAGAAATAAGAACTAAATGTTGGCAAACATAATGGAATGCATAGCTGTGTGTCATTTTGTTCTGTCCTGTTTTGGCCGTTAATTTTTAGTGAAGGAAAAAAAATTTGTAGTATTGTTATAATGTTAGCTTCTTTCCTTTCACTTATGATTTTTCAAAACTTTTAATTTTTACAGAAAATCTTGTTACGCGATTTAAAAATTTTTTTTTATCAACTTGTTTTTTTATCACGATAATATTTTGTTCAAGAATTTTCGACATGTCCTGAATTGCTATCCGGAATTTCAAGATAGCTCCGTAGATTTATCTGAAGATTTTGAATTAGGATAAAATCAATATTAATTATTTGAAGCCACCCATTATTTGATGGAGCATTCCTTTTGATTATTTCCGGAAATTTGAAGGTTTTATGCTTTATTAATTCTACGGCTAGTATTTTAGCGTCACACAGGAATGGATGCGGATGATTCGAGAATGCCATTGTCTGAAGACACTAAAACGCCACAAGTTTATAAATTAGAAATCAAAGAATCGAGTTATGAAGGAATACAGGCAACCTTTTCACCAAAATTTGTATGTTTTCATGTTTTTATTCGTCTCTTCGCATTTATTCTTATCAAATTTCTCATTTGGAAACTCTCGAAGCAATTATGGTCACCAAGACCTGAACACCTGTTGGTAATGTTTACCTGATAGTGTTTCTAAATCAGGCGGAAACACTACCTTTCATACAGTACCAGTAAATTTAAGAAAATTAGCAAAATTATATCCATGAAATGAACCATTTATATGATTATTCAGGTTTATGTCTATCACGACTTCCTTACAGGATGAAAATGGAATAAAAAGAGATGAAAAAATGATCGGACTTACAAAAAATGAACTAGAACAATATTGCAATGACCCATTTTGGAAGGTAGTTAGGTAAATTCTAAATTAGTAAAATTTAACATTGGTTTAAATGTGGGGAAAAGCAATTCATTTTGATGAAAACTCGTTTGGATTCAAATCTTGGATATTACTATTTGTTTGTTTCTTTTTCTGAAGAAAGCAGTTGTTACAGGTGCACAATGTTTCTGCTTTTCTGGGTGGTATGGCTTTTAATGTTTATAGCTGCTGTGCTACTTAATTGTGTTTAGTCCAAAATGCGCAACGATAAAAGAACCGGAATGGTGGCGTAAGCAAGTTAGCTATCAGGTAATCTTAAGTACATACGTATAAACGAAGTTCATTTTTATCTTGGAAAATATCAAACACACACTCCTGCAATACGGAATGAGCCAGTTCTGCAGTCAATTCTCAAATGTTTTAGGATTACTTTTTTACAAGAAAAAAAAAAAAAAAACAATTGGTCATTTCAAAATATTTTGCAATGATATACAATTGCATTGAGTGGAATAAAATTCCAGATATTTACACCTTCCTTTCGTGACTCCAATGATGATGGAATTGGTGATTTTAATGGAATCCGAGAAAAACTTAATGATTTACGGAAGACTGGTATAAAAACAATTTTGGGTGACACCTATAATAACCATTCAAAAGGTTAGGTGGTACTTTGAAAAAATTCGTTGCGAACAGAACTGAGAAAAGTGCTATCACATACTTTCATGCGGAATTTCTATAACTTTTGATAGATTTGAGAAATAATTCAGGATGATTTCATCCCTCTCGATGTGATTGATTTCACAAGTGTTGATGAACGTTTCGGTACAATGAATGATTTAAAATTGTTGATAGATGCAACACATGAACTAGATATGCACTTTACCATGGATTTGCCCATATCAACAACATCTGCATCACATAAATGGTTTGCAACCTTGTCTTCCTTCGTTAATGGATATTGACTTCTTGTAGAATTATACTCTAAAAACCTAATAAATTCCATCTTAAGCGGAAATGGAATTCACTTCAAAGTTATTAAGGCTTTTGGATACTCAATTTTAGGTTCAAATCAGCAAAAGCGGGTGGCGATTACGTTGGTTATTACATTTGGAAGGAGGCACTGGATGTAAAAGATAACCCAAATTATATTGTTGAAGAGGGCAAAAAGGATGCTTATCTAGCTTATGACGGGAAAGACCCAATACTAGACTGGAGTAATCCTGCGGTAAAGAAAAGTATCTTTGAGGTTGCAAAAAGTTTTATTGACATGGGAGTTGATGGTTTCCATGTGGATCGTATTGGCGAATTAATCAAATATCTACCAAAATCAGAGGTATCAACAACCAACTGCAATATTTTCAGAATAAACTACAACTATTTAAACATTTAGAATTCCAAAACTTTTACTCCCTAAACAAATTTAATTATTAAATTCACTTATTCAAAATTGCTAATTGCTCGACATCCATTTTAACATATCATTCAGTTATGAATAATATGATTTGATAATATAATCAGATTACTTTTACGTACGTAGAAATTAAGGGATATGTGGCACTATCAATGATCAATGATTTCATCGGAAATATACGAGATTATGCGAATAGTACTGAAACACCCAGTAGTCGAGAAATCGCTGTGTTTTCATCTTTGAGTGACTTCACCAAACTACAAGATCCTGATGGTCTCAATCTGTCGAACCTCGCATATGTTATCGATGATTCAGTCACCAAACTAAATAATGTCAGTTTCCAGTCAAAAATGATCAATTTTCTAAAAAAGAAAAAGTTGAAACTTAATTTATACATTCTTGATAACAAGAAACGAAGCATTATAATGAATTCTTAAACCTTCTAAATTATTCCTTCTTTAGGAATCATGTCCAAATGGAATAGCACAATGCTTACACTCTACACTTATTACATCTTTCAAATGGTTCAATACTACACATCTTCCACACGCGTGCAGTTCACGAATTACCACGTTTCTCGTCTCAGTACGAGATTCGACAAAGCAACAGCAACTTTACTGAGCTTTGTGCAGCTTTCATTGCCAGGTATTATTGAAATGTATTACGGACAAGAACTAAGTCTTGAAGATAGTACTGGTCCGAAAACAAATTTACTGGTTGATGCAATGGAATAGCAGCGAATACCGCGGTTTCACAGCTGGCAGCCAGAAATCATTCTTTTCTACCATGCTTAATTACAATGAGGACAATTTTCAGGTAATCGTACTCTTCAGTTCTAGACTGTCACAGCAAATCAACTAACATTCAAAATTTCCAAGTCATCAAGCCTTCTTCTGTATAAATTAGGGAGTAAGGTGACTCTATCTTAACCCACTATTTATGCTTCCTAATAGACTTTTCTATTCTCCTTTATTTACGAATCCCGTTATACTGCCAATTTTTGTTAAATAGAGTTGTGTCAATTTTCACACTAACAAGAATTAAGTTCACTTTTTTAATTTCAACCACTCTGATAATAACTCAACTTACAGACTCAATCTACTGGTTATCGCTCACCATTGAAAACACTGAAAGCGGTGGCAAAAATGCACCATCGTGATTACAATTTTGCACTTGGCGAAACTCAATTAGCACCACTTACTCAAGATGTTATCTTATTCGGTCGATTCTATCAATCCACTAATAGTTTTAATGGAGCGGTATGTTATTTTCTTTTTTAATGACTTGTAGTAAACTACATCATTTATACGGTGAGGTTTTGCATACTTTTAAGGCCTACCTGATTGGCGCAAACTTTGGGACATCCGACGTTGAAATAGACGGAATGTCTGTACTGCCGGATAATTATATGGCAGCTACAGCGGAAATCGCTATCGTAACTCCAAACGTTGACAAATACTTACCTAGGGACAAAATATCATCGTTTGATAAAATTGTTCTTGGCCCTAAACAGGGAGTTATTATCAAAGTTCAGTGATAGCTCTTTGCATATAAGTTTTTGTGGAAAATAATTCCTATTTATGTTATTCTTAATATCTATTAAACACTTATCAATATTTATGTGGGAGACAAGTTGCAAAAACTAAAACACATTTCAAATATTATAATGTACACGCCTCAAAGATGATTCGAAAGTTCCCTCGTGGTGTTGATTTTCCCACATAAGCTTTATATGAAGTAATATTACTAAAATAAAAAACTAAATATAACAGATACACCAATAATTGTGAACTTTGTTTGAATTAGGTTAAAAACAATGCAGTTGAAAGCGGAAATTTTCATCCAAATTCTGTTAAGGAAATTACACAAACTGAAATAATGTAAGTTTGACAATATCACTGTAAAATGATTATAACAACACCGGGAAAAAATTATATAGCCTTAACAGATATTTCTTTGATAGTACTCGGGTTTTTGTTAGTTTTCGTAGTTGCTAAAATCTGTAGTAACTTCATATTTCATCTACAAAAAAATCCCATCAACATATTTTTCCTATATCATCTAAAAGTTTAAAATATGGCGGTTATAGACTATGCTTTCATTCCTCAGTGCATCCGTACAATAAATTTTATGACACTTTAACAAGAATTACTACTGACAAAAGCATTCAAGACATATATGAAATATACAAAAACTAATGAACGTTGATAAAAGTTTTTGTAAGGCACGTTGACCAGTATGTGACTAGGAATAATTTGTTAAATGTTTGGAAAACGACAAAAGTGTAATAGAAACTGCCAATATAACAAATTTTCAACTTTTATCGAATGTGATTAACGTGAGCATTTAGATATAATAATTGACATCATACTATTTCCAAACGACTCAAACAATATCATTTCTAAACAACTAACTCGTCCACAAGTCAAAGAAACTTGACTATATGTAATTTGCCCATTGATATCGTCCAGCAATAAAGTTAATGATGTATTTAAGTGAAACAATATATACAATAAATTTTATTTACCCAAATGTATGTCCATAAGGTAATTTTGTTTAGCTAACAGCCAAAATGAACTGATGTAACACTTTGTATAAAACAACATTTGATGCAAAAATGCATCGGAAGGCAAACATTAAAAAAGTAAAAACTCACATTGCTTTTTACATTACCCGCAAGTAACATTAGTGAAAAATAACAATTAAGGATCACCATGTTTCTTCCTGCTGTGCAGAGATTTTAGGAGCTGTTGATATACTACACTCACCAGATTCTTCTCGATAATCACATGTGGTTGCAGAATTAATATACAACTGAAAGCAGATTTACCATATTAAACAAATCTAATTAAAATGTCACTTTCCAATAAAAAAGAAAAAAACCTACTTGCAAGGTGGCATCTGTTTGACGTGCAATAAAGCGAATAAACGGGCGAAGATTCCCACGGTTCGCGGCATTGAGAGTATCATAATAATCAGAACGGGCCTCAACTGGTATTATAACTGGCGGAAAACCGCTCTGCATCAAAATCAGATTCATTAACAATCGTGCAGTACGACCGTTACCATCAATGAATGGATGTATCGAAACCTGTTTAAAAAAAGAATTCTTCCAGCTTTAAAAGAATGTATATAGTGATTTTGGAAGGATATACAACTGGTAATACGAAAATATAAGATTTATGTGATCTTGATTTTAGTTCACATTTTTTTATCATAAACACTCTGAAAATGCAAGATTTTTGGAAAATGTGCAATAGACAAACCAGCTTATAATGAGCAATAGCGGCACGTTCTATTGGATCCAGCAATAAACTGTCCTCCTCATTCAACCATTTCACCATTTCCTCCATTTCTCCTGGTACCATGTTTGCCGGAACGGGTGTGAAACTACTCACAAACACCTCAAAAGAATAACGAACATCATGAAAAAAAGAATAACAGAACAGAACGTCAAACGCAACTATTCCAAAATTGCCCGTCCTATATTGCTCGAGAATGATAAAACAATCACCGCCTATTTTGCATTAATCGACATTCCTTTAATGTTGCTCACATATATACAAATTAACAATATTTCATCCTAGATCTGTATCAAACTCTTCCAAAACATTCACTTCCTATTCACATAATACCAACCTGACTTTTGCGAAATACACCTGCTACTTCCGGATCGACAAAACCAAGAACATGACTATGAATGTCCAAGATATCCTATAATACAAACAACTTTATGATAAACTGACACAAATAACACTATCTTAACATGCTGCAATAATTTTAAAACAACAGAAAAATTATTCGATATATTATTGCTATTATTATACCTGAAGAGTAAAATACGAGACGTATGCAACGCTTTGGTTGATGAATTTCAACGCAGCGTCCATCCCCAAAATCTCGTTATGCTCCATAATACTTTTACCAGCCACTGCCATCCTTGTTTCTAATATGGACCTGAATTAACAAACTAAACTGACATATTCTCTAAATAACATTTTTCTTACATCAACTGCTAACAAAAATCTTACCTTGTCTGACCAAGCGACATAGTATTGCCTTCGATTGCTACAGTATGATAAATATGCAAAAAATACGATTCTTTCATTGCTTTTCGCAAAGCCATATTAGTCTTTGGTATTCTTGAAAAATACGAACGCTTCTCGTGAAGTTTCTTCAACATTTCTCTATCAATTTCTTCCACTATGGGTAAAGTCCTTGCTCGTCTTCTACAGATATCATTCAATCAGTGTAACAAGAAAATCACAAACAGGATATGAAATATGATTCCTATATAACTTTCTTCACTTATAAAGTACTACTTTTTTTACTATGTTTTTAGGACAACTTCAAACATTATGAATCGTCCAAAATTTTGTCAAATATTTACCGTAACATTCAAACAAACAGAAAACAAATATCAAATCAACATAATAATGCCATCCTACTGTTAATTACTCTTCTTATTACAATACAATGATTGAATTGTTCTTTCAGACTAAAACATGCACAAAAACACTCACATTAACGCTTCAGGATGATGAGGATTGTAGCTCAATGCCCGTGAATATAACTCTTCCGCTTCGACCACATTTTTCCGTCCCATTTCAACCACTAAACCGTATTCGGTTAGGATATCTGGATGATGAGGAGCCAGCGCAAGCGCATGCTGAATAATGAGTTCTGCCTAAAAAGCAATTAACATTTACAAAGTCACATTTTCTAGAAATATCAATCACTGACAATCTAAACTTTTTTAACCCTTAGCAACAAAGCACGCATTCAGTATTGCCTCTTGAAAGTGGTGTTTTATGTTCAAGTTCAATTCCTATCTTTCATCAAATATCTTTAAACTATCACAAGGTCAAGCTATACATAACAGAATTTTTGAGTTACACCTTTTCCATATTTCCTTGTGTTCTCGATTGAATCGCAGCTTTTAAAGCTGCAAATGCTTCCTTCTCAGTTTCCCAACCCCATTGAATAACATTTGCTTGGATTGTACCAGCAACCGCTCTTTCAACTTCTTCAAAATACCGCGGCTCCACAGATAAAGGGTCAACAAAATAACCTAATTCGGTTGTGCTGAAAAATAATGCAAATAATGTTTCGAGATTCTGTAAAATTAAGCACTTCAAATTCTTTGCAATTATTTCTTCCTGTGAAAATATTATTAAGCTTCCTGTGAAAATATCAAAACATATAGCTATATTAAGCTTCCTGTGAAAATATCAAACATAAAAATACTACTAACCCGACATAACGTTTACGGGAAAAATGAGCTGAACAATAATCAGCTTGTTTGATAAACTCGGGTGAAAATTGCAAATTACAAATTAAATACTGCGAAATCACAATTCGTTGCACCAGAATCGGTAATGTCTAAAAATAACTCCGATATCTTGCTCTATAAAATTCTCATTAAAAGTCTTAGCTTATGTCCGAATATCTAAGACTCTTTGCACAAATTATAATCAACATTCTAGTGTTATGTCGCCATGAATTAATGGTTAAAAGCGTCACTTAACGTACCTGTATACAAATTGATACAACAATAGACAAAGCCACAACTCGCACCCAAGGTTTTGAAAAAACGTTGGTACCAGACGACATTTCACTCACTACTAGCGTTTACAGGTTGAGCACGTGCAATGATAATTCTTCACTTCACTGTCCATTATTAAACAACAGTAAGATAAAGGAACAAAACTAAATGTGATCAAAAAGAGAGAGAAAGGAAAGAAAAGAAGAAGAAAGAAAAAGTATGAACGATTCAATGAAATATACATTTCGACCAACCAATCAGTTCTTCCTTTTCATATATTGTTTTAGAAATTATCAAAGAGTTGAAGTGTATTACATAGAAATTCTTAGCACTAAAATTTTTACATTAACTGAGTCTTGTTTATTAAACAATGTAAGAGAGAACTAAGCGCCAAATTTTTGAAAGAACGGTGAACAACTCACAGTGCATTGTCCTTTTTATCTTTTTTAAAAATTAGTTAAAAAACTAACTAATCGTATTTTGCTTCTTTTTTTACTTATCAAGCAAAGTGACTTGCCCAAATTACAAAAAAATAAACATTGTAACTTGGCTTACCTTACTGTAAGAGATATGAATATAGTGCAAAATTGTAAACACTCGAAGAAACAACCATTTGATAGTATCCTCGAAATATCCATTTTTTTTTTTTCTAAAGGAATTAGAATTAATTTTGATGATTCACACTTTATGTCTTACGGTAACATTTTCTGAGGGAATTACTTGGCCATTTCTTAACGAAACATACAAAATGCAAACTGCAAACAATGCAGGCTTTGGCTTAAACTTTTGTGTATAATTGTCTATGACCTCCTCTAATTGTGAAATACTCTTTCACAAACTGCTTACAGTATTGCAAAACGACATGTCATTTCAATTGGGTTGAGGTTTGCTTAGCTAACAGAGTCCACCGTCCCTATCGCTCCCATCCGTAACAAAGTGTTCGAGGGAGAGACGGGGCTAGCATAATCACTCAAATGAGCATTGCGACGGGAGCCTGAAATGCTTGTGCGTGTTCATTCGGTGTACGCAACCCGTACATAACTATCTGCGAATATTAAGTGTACATATACGTGACTGCTTGTGAATGTATGGACGTTTTTGTGCACGTGAATGTTTGTGAATAACGTGTACTTCAACACATTATGCGCAGCATAGCACAGCCATAGAACTCGTTTACATGAGAGCAGAAGCAGCGATTTGTTTAGAGGACAGATTATTGAGAGGTGAAATAGGAAGAGGGAATGGCGGTGATGGTGAAATGAAATGGGAATAATACGTCCTCGGTAGACTTAACTACAAACTGATAGTACAGACACATACATAGATGACATACGTGCAAATATATGCACGTGCATAGCGATAACTGTTCCAAGCAGCGAGAATGTCACCATAAGGTTTTGCATTGTTTATAGAATTTGTCTTTTATTGTGACTTTTTTGTATAGGTGTATATGTAGAGAGATAGGTATATATGTTTGTTTGTGTTCATATGTATATATGTGATGTATATGTGTGTTTGTATATATATATATATCAATGTAAAGAGGAAGAACCAATGAAATGATCTGCAGGACGGAATAAACGTTGGTAATTAGATACGGATCTGAGAGGACGAGAACTGGAGGAAAGGGTTGCATACCGCGGAGAGAGCGGAAGTACTGGAAGAGATGGCATTTAGCGGATATATACCAACATTCAAGGAACGACACTCGTTTGGTACGTCTTTTGTTTCATATCTTTCTGACATGAAACATTGTTTCTTTTTAATGAGTGATATGAATTGCTTGAAAGATGACGTTGTGATGATTTCGTTCATTAAGCACTGATAAATATCACTAATCACAAGATTAGTTTCTTTCTTCTAAGCCCAATGTTTTGTTTATTTATATCCAAAAAAGTCCGTGTCTCCATACTGCTACCAATGTAAGAGTTAGTGTTATCTCTTCTGATCAACAGTTATAAATGCTGTAAGATATCTCATAATATTTTGGGACTTTTGTCACAATTTCTGTTGTTTATGAAACATTGGTTAACAACATAAATGGGATAGCTTTGATGTGAGAATACATGAAATGTTTGAACGAGAAGGCATTGCAGTTATTCTCTCAGTTTGTTTGTAATACATACACTTCCGCCTGTACTGAAAGGATGGATTGCAAAGTAATGGATATGAATAGCACTAAAATTATTTTTCTCCGAAACAGGTTGGGTTATTTATCATTCGCACATTGTGCATTTCTCTTCTATTCCGTTTACATTCCCTTCTATTCTGGAAGTACTTTTTATTCGAATTAGGTGATGCCCGTTATCGAATAGTTTCGTTGAAATACACCGGATGAGAAAGGAAAAAGGAGAGGATGGAACTAGGGAAGAAGAAGAAAACACGAGGATATTGTATTTGGTTGATAATGTGAAGTTTTGTGCTATTTTTTTTTAGTGCATCTTCTTTTTGCAACGTTTTTCTTTTTTTACCGTTTGCAAAGTGAAAATTGTGCGCTTTTCTAGTGAATTTTCAACATATTTAATAGTGTAGTGAGAATAGTGAGATTACGTGACAAGCACTTCCTTGCTGTTTTTGCAACGGATATTACCGAGAATGGATAGAAAACAATTGATAGTCGAGATAAAATATGAAGAATAGGGCGTTGAGATGACTTCAATTTACATATTTGATTGATGGGAATAGAACCATTGGCATGTGAATATTGTGCGAATGAATGATACCAAATTGTCGGTTTGATATTTGTTTTTATTTTGAAAAACAAAAATATCTGTATTCCATTAGTTATCCAATCAGCAATCGTTGCTGGAAATGAATGACCGTTTAAGGTGTTATTTCATTGCTTTCTTCATTTAAACGTAAAATCCACCAAAAAGGCATCAAAAAACTTTTTCTCTTAAAACAGTAAAATTTGGTAATTTCCAAAAAGTTTGAAATTAGCGAGAATGCATCTGTTGCCCTTTAAAATTTATTTGATGCACTGTTAGGATAGCAAAGTAAGCTTATTAATTTTGGGTTAATTATCTGAAATTTCTAAATTAATATGATATAAAGTAGTCGCTGAGCAAAAGTCGAACTGTTTCTTACAATTTCAGCAGCACGTGCAAAAGATGCAGCAGAAGCACGACAACAGCAACCGAATAAGATTCCTGTTGTGATCGAGAGATTTGAAGGGGAGAAGTACTTGCCATTGTTGGATCGGTGCAAATTTCTTGTGCCAGATCATATAACAGTTGCCGGATTGATGCAAATTGTGCGAAGGTTTGTCGTTTTACAATTTATTACTTTTTATTATGTACAATTTCGTTCTTTTTTCTGCTGTTGATTCGACGCTGAAAATTCATATCTGCAGAAATAAATCACAAGCATTAATAAAGTATGACTCGATAAGTTTTATGTTCATTTGCTTTTTTTTTTCTCAGTCCCTGCGAGTTCCGTCAATATAGGCTCTTCTTGCATTATTATTATTATTATTATTATTATTATTTTTTTGATGCCTACTTTTTGTTATGAAGAGCAAAGAAAGAATGAACTTCTCAGTACTCTAGAATGCATATCATAATTTACTGAAATGTGAAATGAAACATAGTGCTTATAAATTGTTTTGTGAATGTTTTTTTTAATTCGAAATAGATTGAAAATCTTTTGAGGCGACTACAGCTTCATCCGGATCAAACTTTCTTCCTCCTGGTCAATGAGAAATCGATGGTTTCAAACAGTATGAATATGCATCAACTCTACCAGCAAGAAGCAGACCAGGATGGCTTTCTATACATGGTTTACACCAGCCAACCAGCGTTTGGTAGCATCAAATGAACTAAATATCTACGTGTTCGTTACCTCTGCAAAATTTTTGAAATTTTCTTCCATTTATTTCTGCTCTGATACTCAACAAGATTTAATACGTTTGTACACAAAATACAGTCCTGTACAAAAAAGAAAAAAACACTCAATAAAAATTTTATTATCATTCAGCATTATTATATAAATGCATGTTACTTTTTATTCCTAACTTTATTGTCTTTTGTAACATAATCCCCCTTTCTATGTATTCGAAATTTGGCTTTTTTTGACTTCCTTACCATCGTGATGTATTGTTTTGCGTTAATTCATGAATTAAAGAATCACTGTATGAAATAATTCTTTTCCTTATTCTATAATGTGTTGTGGACATTATCAGTAAGCCAGAGGAATAGTTTTCTTGAACGAATTATTATTAGAACTTGAAACTTGTTTTAAAAATTACTCATTAAATGTTCACATTGAAAAATTCTTTTTATAATGCCTCTTATTTTTATGGTATGCTTTGGAAAAGAGAATTTTATATCTTACACTGAAGGTAAATGAGGTGATTGGGGTATGCTAACGGATGCAAGAGAACAAGTGGTGAGCGAAAATTCTTAAGCAGTAGGATCCGACAGTTGTACACCTTATAAATTGGTAAAAGAACCGTAAAGTTCCATTTAGTGATTTGTTGCTTCCATATACTTCCGATTTGTCGCTTCCGTAAGTTGTTTTTTGACACTGTATGAGCTACTTTCGACAGTTGAACCTGTCTAAAATAGGACATACATTATTGTACATAAAAGACTGTTGTACTGAATATTTCACACACCGGAACCATCTGTTCCTCCATATGAAAAAGTAAACTTTTATCACACGTCTTTACAACTCTTGTTCTACTTATTCCTCATCATTATTTGAAGTTTTTGACTAACAGGATTTATTTCCGTCATTTCCGTAGGTTCGTGTTGTTATTTAATCCTTCTCATCAATGGTAACCAAAGTCAGTTCGATATTGATGACATTTCTGATTTCATATCTGCATCTTTGTCGTCCGAAGCTGCAGATATTTCATTCTTTAGCAGTTATCATGGTCGGTGCAAAATAAAGTTTAATACATGTACCAGTTAATCAAATATTCGGCCTACGCTACTTATCGAGTTCTATCATAGCTATTTTACTGGTGCAGAAACGATTTTGAGATTAGATCTGTCCAAGTATTCATTAAATCAGATGAATCATTTTACAAACCTTTCGTTAATGTTTGAATAAATTCTCAAAAAATTTGGCCTAAAGATTCATATCTCAAATGCTTTCAACAAAAGCTTGCTAAGATCATGAATATTGCAAACGTTTCTAAAACAAGTTTTGTCAAGTCTTAGCCATCCATGTGAATTTAAAAAGAATAAGTTATTTTCTAAGTTACCTAGCTATTCATTGTAGGGCAACTTTCAATCGCTGAAGTAAACAGACATCAATGATCTGTCCAGATTTATGCATATGTCTCTACCGGCTTCGTTTCAGCATTCCAGTGATATCAGTATCCCTCTTTACCACTGCACAATATATTCCTAACATTTAAAGCGGTGAGACTATTTTGTTTGTATTTACTTTCGCACTGTTTGCTTAAAAATGGAATTTTCAATTTATTGGGAATGTTTATATGCTTAGAATGAAACGAGCACTCGAAATTCTGTGGTAGATAATAGATTCCAGAATTTTATGATAAATAATGGATTCTAGAAGGAAAATTCTAGAAATTTCATGGTAATTAGTGCATCCCAGATTTTTACATTCACGGGATTTGCAAGCTATCTTTCCATCTTTTTTCCTTTTCCAATTTGATCAATTATTAGATTGTCATCTTTATCTAGGGCCCTCCAATCTTCAAAGCTCTTTGGACAGCTTTTTGTCAGATTTGATCGTTTCAGAGAGTGCAGGCTATTTTCATCAAAATTCAAACTATTCTGAAGTTCCATCTTTCACTTACAAAATGTGATCCATATCTTGCAACTGTCTCAGTTGCAGATGCTTGTAATAATAATAGTGAAATGATTATGTATCATCTTTAAATCCAGTGATAAGACAGTTTCCTATCGATCTCGATCTATGCTCGAATTCAGTTGACAACTAATGCAAAATCTTTTCTTGTAAAACGAAAAATGTTTTATTCTGCGCCATTAATTGATTTCTTGTTTCTTCCTTTATTCTTAACCATTGCAAAACAATTAAAATTAATGGTCAATAGATTCTCTTAGATGTACGTTAATCCTTCCAGTTCGAATTCAACAAGATTTAATTTCTACAAATGTATCATTATATCATTCTAATGAAAATGGATACGAAGATTGAGATGTATTTGTACCTCTTGAGATTAGCATTCTTTTAAACCTCTATCATAATTATTCAGGAATAAAATGAAGAATTTTGATTGTAGTATTGTCTGCTTGCTTGAAACCTGTTGTTGACATGAAAATTCTTTTACGGAGCCATTACCAGTATCAAATAGCAGTTAAATGGAACCGGAATGGTTTTATAAGTTTCATACCAGATTTCAAGCTTGGTTCTGTTAGTTACGCTTCTACACGGATTATGAAGGAGTTTTACCTGATCACCGCTTTCTATTTCTTATCTTTTCTATCTCAAATTCCTTGTAATCCTCGTTAAAAAATGAAAGGACCGCATCAACAATTTTCTGTTTAACGAAGTTTATTTATTTGCAAGTTCATCTTTATTGATTACTGTTTGTTCGATGTTGTCAAGCTTGCCAAACTATAACCACCCTTTCATCCACATATGAAATGATTACTAAAAATCACAGACTTTTTTGTGCTCAAGAAATAGGATGATATACACTAAGTGAACTGACCGTCTATTTTTCACCAATTTCAATTTGCTTCATTATCTGTAAGCAGAAACGGAACAACAGTTCGATGATATAACCGTAAGATACAGTCTCATTGGTTGTAGTGCGATCAGCTTTCATTATATTAAGAAGTGTCAAAGTATTGTGGACATTTATGATCATTATTCATATCCTTTGATTCTCTGACAATTGTTTCATTTTGTTCAGAATGAAAGCAATAGAAGGGTGACAATTAGGTGACCTCTCGTTAACTGTGCAGCGGTATCTTTCCCTTCTTTGTTGCAGGATTTGGGGTCTGTAATTGTCACCAAATAGCTTTGATCATGCAATAATCCAAAATAATAGCAAAATTTCAACTAATCGAAGTACACTTCAGTGAATGGGTTCTTAATTTCATTCCTTAGTTTCAATTTTTTTTCTTGGGTAAGATAAATGAATATACTACCATTTGATTTTGGTACTCCTACAATAAGAGTCAATTTGCTCGTAATCTATTTCACACTTATTATTACTTGACTTCTGCTTTTATCAATCAATGCCAAAGTTTACCTGAGTTGGTATGTTTCTGATGTCCTCTCCGGTGCTACTTGGATATACAAACTAAAATTTTCCTTGCTTTTTCTGTGCTGTTTTCATTTCTTAACTCGAAAATAATTCTTCAAGGATAACTTAGGCTTTCATTTTACCCCCAGTAACTGGTAATGAATATGGGTAGGAATATTGACAAGAAATTTAAACATTTCTAAAATTTTCAAACAATTTAGAATGAATTTTAGATATCTGTCAAACTCTTCTATTCTAAGCAATGTGAGTCATTTGAAATATAATAATATACTGATTATGCAAACAACTTCCTGTTATTTCACTCTAAATTTTGCAAGATTTGTTCTCTAAATGCAAACTGATCTTTATTTTGCAATGTGACTAATTCGTCCAAAATTATCAATGTAAATCCATTCTATTATCGAAACATCTTTTCATATCATACTTGAAATTTTATGAATTTCATTTTTTCTTTTTTTTGGAAAAATGCCAGTCACAGAGAATGTTAGCAAATGAGACGTAAAGAATTGTGGTTGATACTATGGTTTAAATGTGATATCATTGGTGATGTTAAACAATGTCAGCATCGTTAAATGTTTTATGTAATGTTGAAAATTCATCAGTGATTGGAATAATTTCTATTCCACTGATCTTTCGTCGTTACATATAGCGTTGCTTTTGGGCAAATATTTCAATTCCTAATTTAAATAAAATAATAGAATCAACATGAGAGTATTATGCGACACATTCGGGTGATCAATATTTTGCAAACAATAGCATCATATCAAGTTATCTATGTTGGAAGTTAATTTTACTAATATAGACTTCAAATCAAGATAAATTTTATTTAGTGCTTGCACTAGTGAAATGTTAATTAAAGTGATGAGAAAACTTGCTTGACATAAATGAAATTAAGAGAAAAATGGAAATGAGTAGAAATGGTTTGATAATGGGTAAAAGAAGAAAACATCGCTTAACTGTTGATAGTTGTCGGTTTAATTTGGCATCGCCATATTGATGCCCGCAGTTCAACAGTACATTATGTAGGGTTGTTCATGAAGAAAGTCATAATTAATGCTATCATTATTATCACTGCAATATCAGTGCTGCAAAATGGTTATGGTCGCTATCATTATTGTAACTGTTGCAGTAATGATTTAACAGTGAAAGAGACAACAGCAATGCGCCATTTGTTAATCTGAAGTATTGCGCCGCCACTACACATCAGTCTGGTCACCACAGTCTGCTGTTTATCTTTCCGATGATGATTTCCTCTATCTTTGTTAACCGTAGATGTTATTGGTCTCTCTTTACCGATCACTTTTTTCCCTTTCATTAGGATGAAGTGAAATTTCGGATCAATTTTATGCCGACAATTTACGAATTACATCATTATGCAATAGTTTCAATGCTAATGTTGCTAAAACTTGGAGATAATTTGCAATTTCGATTTATGATGCAAAATTTAAAGTTGAACCAATATACTTTTCAAGGTATCATATGATTTTCATATTTTTCATCCTATCTCTATAACCTGATATACCTTGTAAAAAAAAAAAAAAGTCCAAAATTAATTTGTCGACAATTTGAGTATAGCATCTTTTATTGCATGCTTGTAGTGTTTATGTTTAAAAAGATTAGTAATGCAAAATTGTTTCACAGAAGTTTTGAAATTTTAAGTGAAATGTAGTTGTTTAAAACTTTTTGACAAATATTCACAAAATTTTAATTTCATCCGATCCCATTTTAAATTTATCGTCTTAAAAGCTTATGCAGTGTTGCAATATTATTGAATGATGAATGAGAAATATTATAATATTGTTTCCAAACTTTTTTCTTTCTCATTCTTATCCTTCTTTCTCGTTCCTAAGCTTTCTTTAATGCTTTCAAAAGATTCCATTATGAAAAGCAAACTGTTGAACAAATATTCATTGCTTCTGTCTTTCCTCATGTACCTTAATGAAGCGAAATACTTGCACCGTTGTTTTCTAGTTTTTTCTTCTTTTCCTATCACTTTCTATTTTCATAAAGAATTTTGTAAATTTCAGTAATCTCACGACAACTTCAAAACAAAACAAAACAAAAAACGATCAATATATCAGCATGAATGTGATTTGTTTCAATACAATATGAATCATTGTTACCGCTTATTTGAACTTTCATAATGTAACAGTAATATTAACACATCCTAAATTGTATTCTAGAGACACATTTCAAGTGAGAAGTTATAGTTTACTAAAATGATTTAAAATTACTTTTTAGAAAGACTTGCTGAATTTTAATCTCTTAAATTATTACTTGTCTCACATGACATAGTGTCAATGAGGTCAAAGAAGAGAGCTGAAAAGAATAATTCTTTGCTTTTTGCATCATTGTGATTTATGATCGTCAAATTTAATGTTGATTTATGATCTACAAAACAATTTCAACCATTAATCGTAAAGTGTCACTCATATAAATGGTCATGCTTTTCAGAAGCATCAGAAATAAGAACTAAATGTTGGCAAACATAATGGAATGCATAGCTGTGTGTCATTTTGTTCTGTCCTGTTTTGCCGTTAATTTTTAGTGAAGGAAAAAAAATTTGTAGTATTGTTATAATGTTAGCTTCTTTCCTTTCACTTATGATTTTTCAAAACTTTTAATTTTACAGAAAATCTTTGTTACGCGATTTAAAAATTTTTTTTTATCAACTTGTTTTTTTATCACGATAATATTTTGTTCAAGAATTTTCGACATGTCCTGAAATTGCTATCCGGAATTTCAAGATAGCTCCGTAGATTTATCTGAAGATTTTTGAATTAGGATAAAATCAATATTAATTATTTGAAGCCACCCATTATTTGATGGAGCATTCTTTTTGATTATTTCCGGAAATTTGAAGGTTTTATGCTTTATTAATTCTACGGCTAGTATTTTAGCGTCACACAGGAATGGATGCGGATGATTCGAGAATGCCATTGTCTGAAGACACTAAAACGCCACAAGTTTATAAATTAGAAATCAAAGAATCGAGTTATGAAGGAATACAGGCAACCTTTTCACCAAAATTTGTATGTTTTCATGTTTTTATTCGTCTCTTCGCATTTATTCTTATCAATTTCTCATTTGGAAACTCTCGAAGCAATTATGGTCACCAAGACCTGAACACCTGTTGGTAATGTTTACCTGATAGTGTTTCTAAATCAGGCGGAAACACTACCTTTCATACAGTACCAGTAAATTTAAGAAAATTAGCAAAAATTATATCCATGAAATGAACCATTTATATGATTATTCAGGTTTATGTCTATCACGACTTCCTTACAGGATGAAAATGGAATAAAAAGAGATGAAAAAATGATCGGACTTACAAAAAATGAACTAGAACAATATTGCAATGACCCATTTTGGAAGGTAGTTAGGTAAATTCTAAATTTAGTAAAATTTAAACATTGGTTTAAATGTGGGGAAAAGCCAATTCATTTTGATGAAAACTCGTTTGGATTCAAATCTTGGATATTACTATTTGTTTGTTTCTTTTTTCTGAAGAAAGCAGTTGTTACAGGTGCACAATGTTTCTGCTTTTCTGGGTGGTATGGCTTTTAATGTTTATAGCTGCTGTGCTACTTATTGTGTTTAGTCCAAAATGCGCAACGATAAAAGAACCGGAATGGTGGCGTAAGCAAGTTAGCTATCAGGTAATCTTAAGTACATACGTATAAACGAAGTTCATTTTTATCTTGGAAAATATCAAACACACACTCCTGCAATACGGAAATAGCCAGTTCTGCAGTCAATTCTCAAATGTTTTAGGATTACTTTTTTACAAGAAAAAAAAAAAAAACAATTGGGTCATTTCAAAATATTTTTGCAATGATATACAATTGCATTGAGTGGAATAAAATTCCAGATATTTACACCTTCCTTTCGTGACTCCAATGATGATGGAATTGGTGATTTTAATGGAATCCGAGAAAAACTTAATGATTTACGGAAGACTGGTATAAAAACAATTTGGGTGACACCTATAATAACCATTCAAAAGGTTAGGTGGTACTTTGAAAAAATTCGTTGCGAACAGAACTGAGAAAAGTGCTATCACATACTTTCATGCGGAATTTCTATAACTTTTGATAGATTTGAGAAATAATTCAGGATGATTTCATCCCTCTCGATGTGATTGATTTCACAAGTGTTGATGAACGTTTCGGTACAATGAATGATTTAAAATTGTTGATAGATGCAACACATGAACTAGATATGCACTTTACCATGGATTTGCCCATATCAACAACATCTGCATCACATAAATGGTTTGCAACCTTGTCTTCCTTCGTTAATGGATATTGACTTCTTGTAGAATTTATACTCTAAAAACCTAATAAATTCCATCTTAAGCGGAAATGGAATTCACTTCAAAGTTATTAAGGCTTTTGGATACTCAATTTTAGGTTCAAATCAGCAAAAGCGGGTGGCGATTACGTTGGTTATTACATTTGGAAGGAGGCACTGGATGTAAAAGATAACCCAAATTATATTGTTGAAGAGGGCAAAAAGGATGCTTATCTAGCTTATGACGGGAAAGACCCAATACTAGACTGGAGTAATCCTGCGGTAAAGAAAAGTATCTTTGAGGTTGCAAAAAGTTTTATTGACATGGGAGTTGATGGTTTCCATGTGGATCGTATTGGCGAATTAATCAAATATCTACCAAAATCAGAGGTATCAACAACCAACTGCAATATTTTCAGAATAAACTACAACTATTTTAAACATTTAGAATTCCAAAACTTTTACTCCCTAAACAAATTTAATTATTAAATTCACTTATTCAAAATTGCTAATTGCTCGACATCCATTTTAACATATCATTCAGTTATGAATAATATGATTTGATAATATAATCAGATTACTTTTACGTACGTAGAAATTAAGGGATATGTGGCACTATCAATGATCAATGATTTCATCGGAAATATACGAGATTATGCGAATAGTACTGAAACACCCAGTAGTCGAGAAATCGCTGTGTTTTCATCTTTGAGTGACTTCACCAAACTACAAGAATCTGATGGTCTCAATCTGTCGAACCTCGCATATGTTATCGATGATTCAGTCACCAAACTAAATAATGTCAGTTCCAGTCAAAATGATCAATTTTCTAAAAAAGAAAAAAGTTGAAACTTAATTTATACATTCTTGATAACAAGAAACGAAGCATTTATAATGAATTCTTAAACCTTCTAAATTATTCCTTCTTTAGGAATCATGTCCAAATGGAATAGCACAATGCTTACACTCTACACTTATTACATCTTTCAAATGGTTCAATACTACACATCTTCCACACGCGTGGCAGTTCACGAATTACCACGTTTCTCGTCTCAGTACGAGATTCGACAAAGCAACAGCAACTTTACTGAGCTTTGTGCAGCTTTCATTGCCAGGTATTATTGAAATGTATTACGGACAAGAACTAAGTCTTGAAGATAGTACTGGTCCTGAAAACAAATTTACTGGTTTGATGCAATGGAATAGCAGCGAATACCGCGGTTTCACAGCTGGCAGCCAGAAATCATTCTTTTCTACCATGCTTAATTACAATGAGGACAATTTTCAGGTAATCGTACTCTTCAGTTCTAGACTGTCACAGCAAATCAACTAACATTCAAAATTTCCAAGTCATCAAGCCTTCTTCTGTATAAATTAGGGAGTAAGGTGACTCTATCTTAACCCACTATTTATGCTTCCTAATAGACTTTTCTATTCTCCTTTATTTACGAATCCCGTTATACTGCCAATTTTTGTTAAATAGAGTTGTGTCAATTTTCACACTAACAAGAATTAAGTTCACTTTTTTAATTTCAACCACTCTGATAATAACTCAACTTACAGACTCAATCTACTGGTTATCGCTCACCATTGAAAACACTGAAAGCGGTGGCAAAAATGCACCATCGTGATTACAATTTTGCACTTGGCGAAACTCAATTAGCACCACTTACTCAAGATGTTATCTTATTCGGTCGATTCTATCAATCCACTAATAGTTTTAATGGAGCGGTATGTTATTTTCTTTTTTAATGACTTGTAGTAAACTACATCATTTATACGGTGAGGTTTTGCATACTTTTAAGGCCTACCTGATTGGCGCAAACTTTGGGACATCCGACGTTGAAATAGACGGAATGTCTGTACTGCCGGATAATTATATGGCAGCTACAGCGGAAATCGCTATCGTAACTCCAAACGTTGACAAATACTTACCTAGGGACAAAATATCATCGTTTGATAAAATTGTTCTTGGCCCTAAACAGGGAGTTATTATCAAAGTTCAGTGATAGCTCTTTGCATATAAGTTTTTGTGGAAAATAATTCCTATTTATGTTATTCTTAATATCTATTAAACACTTATCAATATTTATGTGGGAGACAAGTTGCAAAAACTAAAACACATTTCAAATATTATAATGTACACGCCTCAAAGATGATTCGAAAGTTCCCTCGTGGTGTTGATTTTCCCACATAAGCTTTATATGAAGTAATATTACTAAAATAAAAAACTAAATATAACAGATACACCAATAATTGTGAACTTTGTTTGAATTAGGTTAAAAACAATGCAGTTGAAAGCGGAAATTTTCATCCAAATTCTGTTAAGGAAATTACACAAACTGAAATAATGTAAGTTTGACAATATCACTGTAAAATGATTATAACAACACCGGGAAAAATTATATAGCCTTAACAGATATTTCTTTGATAGTACTCGGGTTTTTGTTAGTTTTCGTAGTTGCTAAAATCTGTAGTAACTTCATATTTCATCTACAAAAAAATCCCATCAACATATTTTTCCTATATCATCTAAAAGTTTAAAATATGGCGGTTATAGACTATGCTTTCATTCCTCAGTGCATCCGTACAATAAATTTTATGACACTTTAACAAGAATTACTACTGACAAAAGCATTCAAGACATATATGAAAATATACAAAAACTAATGAACGTTGATAAAAGTTTTTGTAAGGCACGTTGACCAGTATGTGACTAGGAATAATTTGTTAAATGTTTGGAAAACGACAAAAGTGTAATAGAAACTGCCAATATAACAAATTTTCAACTTTTATCGAATGTGATTAACGTGAGCATTTAGATATAATAATTGACATCATACTATTTCCAAACGACTCAAACAATATCATTTCTAAACAACTAACTCGTCCACAAGTCAAAGAAACTTGACTATATGTAATTTGCCCATTGATATCGTCCAGCAATAAAGTTAATGATGTATTTAAGTGAAACAATATATACAATAAATTTTATTTACCCAAATGTATGTCCATAAGGTAATTTTGTTTAGCTAACAGCCAAAATGAACTGATGTAACACTTTGTATAAAACAACATTTGATGCAAAAATGCATCGGAAGGCAAACATTAAAAAAGTAAAAACTCACATTGCTTTTTACATTACCCGCAAGTAACATTAGTGAAAAATAACAATTAAGGATCACCATGTTTCTTCCTGCTGTGCAGAGATTTTAGGAGCTGTTGATATACTACACTCACCAGATTCTTCTCGATAATCACATGTGGTTGCAGAATTAATATACAACTGAAAGCAGATTTACCATATTAAACAAATCTAATTAAAATGTCACTTTCCAATAAAAAAGAAAAAAACCTACTTGCAAGGTGGCATCTGTTTGACGTGCAATAAAGCGAATAAACGGGCGAAGATTCCCACGGTTCGCGGCATTGAGAGTATCATAATAATCAGAACGGGCCTCAACTGGTATTATAACTGGCGGAAAACCGCTCTGCATCAAAATCAGATTCATTAACAATCGTGCAGTACGACCGTTACCATCAATGAATGGATGTATCGAAACCTGTTTAAAAAAAGAATTCTTCCAGCTTTAAAAGAATGTATATAGTGATTTTGGAAGGATATACAACTGGTAATACGAAAATATAAGATTTATGTGATCTTGATTTTAGTTCACATTTTTTTATCATAAACACTCTGAAAATGCAAGATTTTTGGAAAATGTGCAATAGACAAACCAGCTTATAATGAGCAATAGCGGCACGTTCTATTGGATCCAGCAATAAACTGTCCTCCTCATTCAACCATTTCACCATTTCCTCCATTTCTCCTGGTACCATGTTTGCCGGAACGGGTGTGAAACTACTCACAAACACCTCAAAAGAATAACGAACATCATGAAAAAAAGAATAACAGAACAGAACGTCAAACGCAACTATTCCAAAATTGCCCGTCCTATATTGCTCGAGAATGATAAAACAATCACCGCCTATTTTGCATTAATCGACATTCCTTTAATGTTGCTCACATATATACAAATTAACAATATTTCATCCTAGATCTGTATCAAACTCTTCCAAAACATTCACTTCCTATTCACATAATACCAACCTGACTTTTGCGAAATACACCTGCTACTTCCGGATCGACAAAACCAAGAACATGACTATGAATGTCCAAGATATCCTATAATACAAACAACTTTATGATAAACTGACACAAATAACACTATCTTAACATGCTGCAATAATTTTAAAACAACAGAAAAAT